AGAAAGTAAGAGTAAAATTTTTGGATCAGTGATACAACGTATTACTTTCTCCTTGTACAGTTTAAATTTTGAATAGTGGACCATCCTGTTATGTTTTCTTCATCCTAAAAAAAAAAATCATGAATTTGAATGTTCATTTCTTTCATGAGCCCCACACTTTAACTTCTCCAGTATTTAGTAAAATTTGACTTGGTTTAGTGTAATAGTAATACAAATATCTATGAAACTTAATTTTCACACATTTCCAGTTCATGTTCTAGGAATTTAAGGCTGAAAAAAAAAAAACTTGCCTCCCAGGCTTTCTGTTAAAATTCTTTCTTGGACTCATATAGTTTTTAAAGACATGTTTTTAAGAACACAAATATATCACTTTTGATGTTAACTCCATAGGTCCTAGCTTTGTCATTATATAATACATTATTAGGATAGTGGCTTTTGAAATTTGTCAAATGGATTTGTAATTCTGTATGTGGTAAATTGTGTAGATTATGTGAATATATGAAGCATGCTTGAGAATGCACACCTTTAATTTGTAGGAGCTGTGCTCCATGTAGATTGCTAATTGTGGTTTTTAAGCCTGCTCTGTCCTTGTGAACTTTTCTTTTGTTGGGTTCATCAATCATTGAGAAAGACATACTGAAATATTTCATTGTAACAATTCATCATGTTCATCCTATAAGTCAATTTTTGCCTTACACAAGAGGATTCCAAAAGTTCAGAGAAAATATGCATTAATTTTAAATTCTAATTTCCATGAGCTCTTGGGAGCCCTTTCTATATGGAAACAATTTTGTTTAGGGGTTTCTGTTGGATATTATTTGCATGTTCAGTTAAATTCCATGACACATACCCTCATAGCAGGAGACTTTTTTTCCTAGCATCCTTTGTAACTGGTTATAGTCATCTAAGTTCTACATAATGAGATGGGAGAGAAAGGGAAATAACTTTTAAACATATACATAAGAAGAATGATAATTGCCCTCTTTCTGCCTTTTCCTTTCCTGTCACCTTAGACATAAACAAGTTGCTAAATCAGTTTTAACTGCATGAAAATGAAAGTAAAGAGCAACTCACCAGGTGGTGGTGGACCAATAAGCTTGAAGGAATATAAGGCTCTCATTGACCTCATGGTCCACTGCTGAAATTTTCCCTGGACTATCTGATCTGTTGCCTCTGGATTGTCATGTGATAGAGCCAATGCATTTGGTATATCACTTTTTAACTCATCTTAGGCTGTACACTAATTTCAATGGCTTAGTCAACTTGGTCTGATAGATAATTACCTAGGCTTTGTTTTTGTTGGTATTTGCCTGATACATCTTTTTCTAGTCTTTTACTTAAAATTTTATATTGTTTTATGTTTTAGGCGTATCTCTTACTCACAGCATGTAGGTAGATGTTTTTTCCTCTCCAGTCTGAGCAGCTCTGTCAAGTTTAACCAACTCAGTTTCATTCTCATTGTTAATAGTTTTTGAGATGTTTTTATCGTTTCACTGTTGCTTTATAATTTGCCTTGGTTTTGTGCCTCTTTTTCTCATCTCTAATATTTTCTGTAAGCTTTATTTTTTCCTAATTCTTTTACTTTTTCTCATTCTTATTATAGTATAGTTGTTAAAATGTTGCCTTGACCCAGTTTTGAGGCTCTGGCTAGAGGCCAGTCACATCTTCATAAGCAGGTAATTAAGTCCTTGTCCTTAACTACCTCCCTGTTGGACCCTTACACTCTGAGCAACTATAAATCCTCCCTGTTCACTCCCAAGTCCAGGTACCAGACAAGCAGAGAGAGCCCTAGTGCCCCAAACTTCAATGAAATTTCCTAAATTAGCCAATTCTAACCTTTATCCTCCCAGAAACCACAATAGAGGTGCTTGTCCACCATTCCTCTTTGTCCCTCTGCCTAGTGACTGACTCTTGATGCTGCTGTTTGTGAGTGTGCCTGTGTGATGGCCTATGTTGTCCCCAAGAAACATGAGTAACAAACCCATCAAACTTTTTCCAGTTTGTCTCTCTTATTCTGTGACTGTCCTCATCATACCTCACCCAAGATATTACAGTTAATACAGTTGTATGAGAATGTTTTTAGAAGGTAATGAATTAATCAAATTAATAGATAATGCACATTTCCATGAACATTTTGAAGAGCTTTCATATACTGTGTTGATTCTTGTCATTGCACCTGGAAATTTTGCCATATATATGCAACAGAATTTACAATGAGTCAGTATATCACTCCACATAGAACTGTACCTGTGGTAATATTACATGAGACATATGACACATTAATTCAGTGTTTTCCCTTGGTGTATATAATAATGCCTAATAATTAAATTATGTTGCTTTTTAGAGCCCTAAATTAAACTGAAAGTATTTCTTTTTCAGAATTTATTCTTTAGATCCAAGATTTATATCCAGGAATCATCATATTTCTTCCCAAGATCTATCTTCAGAAGTTTCTTTAGTGAGCATTTCTTGGAAATCATATGTGTCAGATTTAATGAAAATGTGTTGGTATTATTATCATTTTGGGGGACAGGTTTACTGGATATTTATTTTCGGATTGACAATTTTTGATTCTTACCACTTTACATGGACACTTTTTTTTTAATTTTTTGTTAATTTTTTTTTTTTTTTTGACAGGCAGAGTGGACAGTGAGAGAGACGGAGAGAAAGGTCTTCCTTTTGTCATTGGTTCACCCTCCAATGGCCGCCGCTGCTGGCGCTCTGCGGCCGGTGCATCGCGCTGATCCGAAGCCAGGAGTCAGGTGTTTCTCCTGGTCTCCCATAGGGTGCAGGGCCCAAGGACCTGGGCCATCCTCCACTGCACTCCCGGGCCATAGCAGAGAGCTGGCTTGGAAGAGGGGCAACTGGGACAGAATCTGGCACCCTGACCAGGACTAGAACCCGGTGTGCTGGCGCCGCAAGGTGGAGGATTAGCCTATTGAGCCACGGCGCCGGTACAGGGACACTTTTAACCTCTTCTGCATTCTAGACTTTGCTCTTGAGAAGTCTTTCTGCACCATTATCACTCTTTTATTGATTTACATTTTTTTCTTTATAAGTACTATTACTAACTTCCCTTTGTCCTTAGTGCTTTGTTTTTTAATTTGCTGTGTATATAGATTCTAAATTTTATTTTATTTAATCTGGTCACTGGTTATATTTATTATCTTTAATCTATAAATTAACATTCCATCATTTTGGTAAATTATCATTGTCTAATTAAATATGTTCTTTTTCCATTTTATTTAATCTCCCTTTCTGCAATATATCTTAGCTTCTCCTTAATAGTTTCTAAATCCTTGTCTTAGTGTGAAACAATATTAATAAGATGTTTGTCTTTATCTTCCAGTTTACCAATTTCCTCTTTAGTTCTGTTTAATATGCTATCCAATCTATCCATTAAAGATTTTAAAATTTACACATTGTATTTGTTGCTTTTGAAAGTTTTAGTTATTTTTAGTGGTATACTTTTAGTAGTGATTCCATATTTTATTTTCTTAATCTTTTCTTTCATCTTTATTTATTTTTTTAAGGATTTATTTATTTATGTATTTGAAAGGTAGAGTCACCAGGATAGGAGACACACACACAAACTACACACACACACACACACACACACAGAGGTTTCTTCCATCTGCTGATTCACTCCCCAAATGGCCACCATAGTCAGGCTGGACCAGGTTGAAACCAGGAGCCAGGAACCAGGAGCCAGGACTCAGGAGCTTTATCCCACATTGGGGGCAGGGGCCCAACTACTTGGACCATTTTCTGCTGTCCCAGGCACACTAGCAGGACACTGATTCAGAAGTGGAGAAGCCAAGACCCAAACTGGCACTCAAAAAAGATGCTGATGTCACAGATACCAGCTTAACCTGCTATGCCACAGGATTGGCTCCTGCATCTTTAATTTAATTTTTTTTTGTTTTTATTCTTTAAGTAGATTATATTTTTCCAGAGATGGTAACCACAATATACTCCATCTTCCATGCCCTTCTAGAATGTGACCTTGCCCCTTCTTTATCAAAAAGTGATCCTCTCTCTCCAACTCTTAAATTTAAATGGACACTATATTTGTTTGATGACATTGTTCAAATTCCAAATAAGGCCTTTATCTGGTGTGTAATTAAGGTTACTGATGATTTTTAGTGTACGTCCTGGGCTTTATTAGGTTCATTTTGTTTACAAGCAATTCTTTTTTATTTGAAATTCAAATTTAAGTGGGTGTCATATTTTTATTTTCCAAATCTGGCAACCCTATTTGAAACCCACTGACATGACAGGTCTGGGATTCCGCTGTAGTCATGATGTAAGAAGTCTAAATGGAGTGGTAAAGCCTTGGTGGGAGAACCACCGTGTGGAGTGGGAGGAGCCAGCGAGCATGGAGCGCCAGCCTTGTGTGTAAAGAGAACACACTGGAAATAGGTCCTCCAGTCCCCTTTTACCAGGTGAACCCGAGATCAAGAAGCCTGCTAAAACTTTCCTAAAATACTGATTTACAGAAGTTGTGATCAACTTAGCTAGTTTATGCTGGACAATGCCAGTGAATATAATTTGAGAAGGGAAAAAATAATGAGACTACAGTGTTGACTTCAGGTACAGAATGGCCTTGGAGTTAATTCCTGGAGGAATAGGAATGGCTAATCCTTTCATGGTAATTAATTTCTACAAAAAGAGAAAATAATGAGATTCAACTTGTGATGGTCTTGTGCCTTCATTTGGGACAGTGCATAGCTTTATATAGTTGTGTAAACAACCCCAGGTTTTATAATTTCACTCATCACATGAAGTATTGGACTGTTAAAATATTTTATACCACAGATCATTTATCTGCTTAAAATGAGAGTAGTTGCCTGACTCACTGGCATGTTTAGCAGCAGGAAATTTATAAAAATCTTCTTAGTTAAGATTGAAAAAACTTATAGAGCTAAGAATGAAACTTTTTCTTCATTATGATTAAAAACAGTCCATAAATACCTTTGTACATTTTATAATAAATAACAGTGGCCCTTAATTTTTCATTTGAGAAATATCAGCTATAATTCTAAGAGTTATAATTCTAAAAGTTTAATTAATTATTTTTCTAAATCATTTCAGACACCTTGAGAAGGAAACCCTATGCTGTCCACCACTGTTCCAGAAAGGTACTAAAATTAGGAAAGATTGATAAGGACTGGGATGGTTTCATTAAAGAGGGAGCTAAACTCTCATGATCATCCTGCAGTCTCTATTAAAGGGGACAGATGAACCCATGGGCTTACTGTTTAAACTCAGTGAATTAAGAGAACTGATAGGAGAATGCTTGTTCCACGCTCTAGAAATCTGGAGGGCGTTGCAATAGCACAACCCTCCCAGCCTCTCTTGTAACCTACCTCACACATTTCCCCTACAAATGTGGGCTGAGCTGTTTTATTGGGGATCAGGTGAAGAGCAAAGGTGCATGCCTGTGCATGCGTAATTAGTTTCCTTCTCTCTTTCTCTCTCTTTCTCACATACAGGAGATTTTTAGACTTCGAGTCTCCTACAGATGCACCTTTTGAAAATTTATTTTAGTTAACATATACGTGTGCATATTTATGGGATCCACCATAATAATTTGATATATGTAGACCATGTATAATGATTAAATAAAAATAATCAACACCATTTCCATCTTCACAAACATCTATCATTCCATGTGTTGGGAAGCTTCAACCTCTTCACTTTCTGTTACTTTGAAGTATGTAACAAATGATGATAGATGGTAGTTAACCCTATTATGCTGTAGGTTACTAAAATTAGTTCATTTTAAATAGAGATTGTCTTAGAATATTGCTAGGCCCTTCCCTCAGAGATTTGACTCTGTAGGTCTAGGATAGACCCCCATATTTTAATGTTTAACAAATTCTTAGGTGATGCTGACGCTACTGGTCCAGAAACCACTTAGAGAACCATTGCTGTGGTATAACTCTACCCAAAGAGAGAATTTCTTTGGCTCTCCACATAAGCAGTTGCTGAGGGAGCTCCTGCCTTCATGGTGAGAACAGCACTAGTACTGCCTCTAACAGCGTTAGTTAAGCCTGCTAAATTCTGGACCAAAATATTAGCAAGTCTGCTTATGTACAAATAGAAATACTTTCCGTAATTTTGGCTTTCTACCTGCCTATGCCTTGTGTTTATTTTAATATGATGAGACTTTGAGAGGGAAAACAGTGCTATTTATCACATTTATTGAAAACCTCTAAGTGAACATATATGGTTTCATGTTGTCAATTAATGTATGTGCATTAACCTGCCTGTATTGTAGAGAATACAGGTAGAAGGATTCTATGTTCTCTATCATTGTGAAGCTGATATGCTTTCTAGTGCAGCTCTTTGTGCACCTGAGGCTAATGCTGATGAAACAGTTTGTACTGACATATTATTATACCCTTTAATCAATAAGCTTTATCCTTGTTATCTATGTTTGAAGTTATTTCAAATAAATGAAATTTTTGCTCCATAGAGTAGATTAATAGTAGTGTTTTTTTAAATGGTGGATACTGCTGAAATCATTAGAATGGTATTTTCAGAATGATGTCCAGTCACTTGAATATATGGTATTCAAAGACATGAATTTTCGAAGTCCATTCATCATCAACCTTATTCCTTCAAGATTTTCTGTTTCCTTCTGGGTGTGCTACAGCCTGGTGACCACTCCTATCAATCAGCCAACTGGTGGTAATTGTTGTTAATTTCCTAGTATTTGACAAACAATTGTTCTTGGACAACTGGAGGGAAGCAGCTTGAGAGAGTGTCAGAAAGGTACTGCAAAAATAACATTTATTGTTTATGCTTGTTGACAAAAAGTGACATGCATATTATTGGAAATTTTTAAAGTATACAAAATATCAAGTAAAAAGGAAGAATTTAAACATACCTTTATGTGGGGCCAATGCTGTGGCATAGCAGGTAAAACCACTGCCTGTGGTACTGGCATCCCATATGGGCGCCGGTTCTAGTCCCGGCTGCTCCTCTTCCAATCCAGCTCTCTGCTATGGCCTGGGAAAGCAGTAGAAGATGACCAAAGTCCTTGGGGCCCTGCACCCACATGGGAGACCCAGCAGAAGCTCCTGGCTCCTGGCTTCAGATCAGCGCAGCTCCAGCCATTGTGGCCAGTTTGAGAGTGAACCAGCAGATGGAAGACTCTCTCTGCCTGCCTCTCCTTCTCTCTTTGTAACTCTTTCAAATAAATAAATAAATCTTTAAAAAATAAGCATAACTTTATGTAAAGAAATAACTTGTATAATTTTGGGGAATTTCAGATGTATCTAGTCAGTTTACGATTTTATAACAAAATGTTTGCTGCTGAGTCATTTATAAAGAACATAAATTTATTTTCTTTTTTAAAAAAGATTTGTTTGGGGCAAGCCCTGTGCCATAGCAGGTAAAACCACCACCTGCAATGCCAGCATCCCATATGGGCACTAGCTCAAGTCCCAGCTGCTCCACTTCCAATCCAGCTCTCTGCTATGGCCTGGGGAAGCAAAGGAAGATGGGCCAACTCCTTGGGCCCCTACACCCTTGTGGGAGACCCAGTAGAAGCTCCTGGCTCCTGGCTTTGGATCGGCATGGCTTCAGCCATTGTGGCCATCTGGGGGGTGAATCAGGGATGGATCTCTCTCTCTTTCTCTCTCTCTCTGTCTATCTCTCTCTCTCACTCCCCCCCTTCTCTCCCTCCTTCTCTGTAACTCTCCTTTTCAAATAAAAATAAATATTTTTAAAATATTTATTTATGTATTTACTTGAAAAGCAGCGTGACAGAAAGATAGGAAGAGAAGAAGATACATTTATATCTATATCTACTTTTATCTATTATGAAGAGAGAGGACAGAGAATTAATTTTTCCACTCCTGGTCCACTCCTCAAATGCCACAATTGCTAGGTTAGGGCCAGCTCAGAGTCAGGAGCCAGGAACTTTATCCTAGTCTCCCACAATGGTGGCAGTGGGCATTAACAAGAAACTGAATGAGATGCAGAATAGTTGGAACTTGAATTGGCTCTCTGACATCGGATACCATCACTGCAATCAGCAGTTTAAATTGCTGCACCCCAATGCTAGTTACCAAAACTTATTTTCTTACACTTCTCCTGGTTGGAAGTCCAAGATGAAGGTGCCAGAATGTTCTGTGTCTGGTAAGTATCTGGTTTCTCTGCTCACAAGATAGCATGATGTTGCTGTGTCCTCACAAAGTAGAAGGTAGAAGAGCAAAAGGGATGTAACTAATTCATTCTAACCTGCTGATAAATTGATAAAAACACTAATTCATATAAAAATACTTACTACAGATAAAATCCTTCTTCATCATTACAGGGTTTCTCCTTGGTGTATAGTCTTTCCATAGTACATTGTAGGATCAAGATTTTTGTCCATTTATAAACATTGACTAATATTGACCATCACACAGGAGTGCCCCTTGTCCTTAAAAGTTACCCTGCAAGGAACAGATGTGGTGCAGTGAGTTAAGCCAAAGTTTGTGATAACATAATCTACTTTGGACTGCCTGGGGTTAAGTCTAGCTCTACTTTTTTTTTTTTTTTAAGATTCATTTATTTATTTGATAGACTGAGTTACAGAGGCAGAGAGAAAGAGATAGAAAGATAGAGATAGAGAGAGGGAGAGAGAGATAGAGAGGGAGAGAGAGAGAGAGAGAGAGACAGGTCTTTCATCCGTTGGTCTGTTGGTTCACTCCCCAGATGGCCACAATGGCTGGAGCTGGGCCTATCTGAAGCCAGGAGCTTCTTCCAAGTTTTCCACATGGGCGCAGGGACCCAATGACTTTGGCCATCTTCTACTGCTTTTTCAGGCCATAACGGAGAACTGGATCAGAAGTGGAGCAGCTGGGACTTGAACTGGCACCAATATAGGATTCTGGTACTGCAGGCAGTAGCTTTACCCACTACGCCACAACACCAGCCCCTAGCCTCTGCTTTTGATGTAGCTTCCTGCTAATGCACATCCTTGGAGACAGCAGATGATGGCCCAAGGAGTTGGGTCCCTGTCACCAACAAAAGATGCCTGGGTGGAGTTGCTGCCTCCTAGCTTCAGCATGGTCCAGCTCCGAATGTTGTGGGCATTTGCGGAGTGAATCAGTGGATGAAAAATCTCCCCCATCCCTGCTTTTCTATTGCTCTGCCTTTCAAATAAATATTAAACTTTAAAAAGTTGCCCTTTAAATTGGAACTCCTTAGTCAGTATTACTGGGAGTTCATTGATGATCAATTCTTTATAAGCATTGCATAAGCATTTTCCAGCGTTTTACCAATCTCCCCAGCCTACTGCCCTAAGATATGTAGGAACGGAACTCACTCTCTAACCTACGGTTTTAATTAGAATTTTTAAACAACTTATTTTATATATTTGAAAGGCGGAGAAACAGATAGATGGAGAGAGACCATCAGACAGAAATCTTGATCTGCAGGTTCACCTCTCAAATGCTTGAATAGTGAGTGTTGGGTAAGGTTGAAGTCAGTAGCCTGGAACTCAATCCACATTGGTGGCAGGGACCCAACTACCTGAGCCATTACCAGGTGATTCCCAAGATGCACGTTAGCAGGAAGCTGGAATCAGGAGGAGAGCCAGGACTCAATCCAAGCCCTCCAGTGCAGGATGAGGGCATCTCAAGTGGCATTTTTTTTTTTTTGACAGGCAGAGTGGACAGTGAGAGAGAGAGAGAGAGAGAGGTCTTCCTTTGCTGTTGGTTCACCCTCCAATGGCTGCTGCGGCCTGCGCACTGCGGCCGGCGCACCGCGCTGATCCGATGGCAGGAGCCAGGTACTTATCCTGGTCTCCCATGGGGTGCAGGGCCCAAGCACTTGGGCCATCCTCCACTGCACTCCCGGGCCACAGCAGAGAGCTGGCCTGGAAGAGGGGCAACTGAGACAGAAACCGGCGCCCTGACCGGGACTAGAACCTGGTGTGTCGGCGCCACTAGGTGGAGGATTAGCCTAGTGAGCCGCGGCGCCGGCTCAAGTGTCATCTTAAGTACCAGATGCCTGACTGTGATGTTAGTTTAGTCTGTGGAAAATATCTCCTTTGATTTTCATGCTCCATGAAATATTAAATATACTATTAACTTTATTAGGAAAAACAATCTTCTAATAGCTTCTGATTCATTGAATAAAAATTTCTAAGCGAAGAAGTTTGAAGGTTCCTATTATATGCCTGGTCTGGAATGAAAAGAAATTATAGAGAATTTTGTGTACTTTGAATACATTAATAGATGAATGAATGAAGTGGAACTACACTGAAAAAATAAGGATTTTGTAGGTTGTTATTTCACTTCACATATGCTACCTTATCTCATTTAACAGCTCTGAGATATAGAAATTATTATCACATTTTTTAGAAGAAAAATAGATATTGAAAAGTGTTATCACTTGCCCAGGGCCAGATTTGTAGAAAATACCAGGTCCATGTAGTTTTGATCCTACAGTATTTTTTTCTGCCAAACATACAATGGACAACCACTACAGAATGAGGAAATTTTACAAGACTCTAAGCGAATACAATGTATAAATATCTGTGTCAAACATTGAAAGAGTGGAGACAGATGATTCCAGAATGAAAAGGAAAGGAACTGTAGCTTTCTAACTAATGAATATAAGGCTTGATGCATTGAAGGTGATGCGGAAGAGAAAATGCTCAGTGAAATAAGGATGAGAAATATTTTCAAATCAAAATAAATTCACACTGAGTTTAGAAAAGTGATACAAATAGGAAGTGGAGGAATAAACTACTCTACTGGAGTCAGAAATCAATGTATGTTCCCTATTACAGGAAATCTAGATTTCTGAGAAAAACCATTACACACTATAATAAATCCCCTGAGTTCAATTGCTTCCAAGAATCTGATATAGTTCTTGAAAAGACCTAATGGGTGGTTTTTGACTTCCTACTCAGAGTTATAGACCTAATGTGTTCCAAGTGGAGATAGATTCATTTAATGTGGTCTGAAAAACACAACCTGCATTAATTGAATCTCATTTGCTGGATGCTATTTTTTGCTACTAATTTGTAAAGAAGTAAATGATAGTTTTACATGAGCACTACTCAGAATCTTAGAGAACTGTGCAGTATGATTTTGAACAGAAAACTCACATGTTGCAGTAGAGTGTTGATGTCCTGGAGGTACTATAAAAGGACATTTTGAGTCTGAGTTATACTATCAATAGCCTAGAGTCTTGACTAAGAAATTAACTTATTTCACAAGAACCAAGAAGAATGCATAGACTATTTGAATACTACATGACTTGTGCAGGAATACAATGAATTGAATATGGACAGGCGATATCCATTGTAAGATAAAAGACACTTCAGGAATTCCATAGGGAATGGAAATACTGGCTATTATTACACATAACTGATTTATTTGAAAAAGGTTAATCTGTCTCTCCCTTTCTCTCTCTGTAACTCTGCCTTTCAAATAAATAAATATTTTGAAAAATATAAGGTTAAGAAATAAAACTTATGGTCCCAGATGTCTAATCAATGCCACTCGTCAGCATGTGAGAAATACACTAAATATGGCCTTATTGCATAAGATTGTGAAGTTTAACTTCACTGATATTCTGAAGAGTTGGTGGAGTAGATTCAATGTGGAAACAAGCAATTGGAACTAATTAAAGAAAGAGAAACTTACATCCAGAAGATGTATGCTGACTTTCGCTAGATTCCTTAATAGGCTGGGGCTGCAACTGATACACAGAAGTGGGTATACCCTTCATGTATGTATGTATGTATGTGTGTGTGTGTGTGTATATAGATAGATAGATATCTATATGTGTATACATATATATATATATAGAGAGAGAGAGGTGTATGGTATTTTAAAATGGGCATTTTTAGATAGGAAGACATTAAATACCCATTTTGTGAAAGTGTAGACAAATAGAGAAAGCACACATTACAGCGGTAATTCAGCTGCCCATTTCCCACAGTTGCTTCCTAGGTGAATGGAGGTAATCACAGATCCAAGTATTCTTCTCCTATGAAATATTGTTTCAAGAACGTAATATAAATGGCTCATCTTAAATTATGGTTAACTGATGGGTTCTTCATTTTTTTCCATTGCAGGAAGTGCCAAAGAAGTATTTGGTTTTCAGAAATCATTTGGATGGGATGGATGCAACACAGGATACAATTATCCTATGCAGTAATAAAAGCTTAGTTCTTTTCTTCATATTCCTCTACTCTTCATCAGCAAAATGAATCCAGCTGTTAACTACAACATTCCCTGAAGCTTTATATCAGAAGAGATGAGATGCATGCTATTGGTAGGCAGTGCAATATGTTTTTTAATACCCAGATAGAGGAAAGGTCTAATATTGTTTAACAACCATATTTTACTTAATGACAAAAGTTTAATGAGACAGAATATTCTTAGGTCCTAATGAGAGTTGCCTTTCATTATATGGTGTGTTTTGAGTTGCTAAATACCCACAGTTTGAGCATTGGTCATTAGTATGGCTTAATTTTCATTTTTTCAGGAAGGGCAAGGAATTATCTTTATAGAAAATTTCATCCATATCAGCTAAAATCTGATTGCTTATCTTCTTCTGTTTCAATACTCAAAGCTAGCAATCAAAAGCTAATATTTAAAGACTTTCATACTGCCTAAACTATGTAGCAAACTAACTGTGGATCCTTCCAAGAGAGCAAAATACAGAAGATCTTTGCCCATTGGTCAAAACTTTCAAATAGGACCATCTGCAATGAAATGGAAGTGTTGCTCTGTGCTGTCCAAAATGATGGCCACTGACCACATACAGGTTGACTAGCTGAAATATGGTTGTAAAAATGAGGAGGTGAATTTTAAATTTTAATTAAATAATTACATGTATCCTATGCATATGATATTAGATTATAGACTACTGTAAAATGCATATTAGTGTACTAACTATAGACTTTGCAGTAGAAGAGGGTCATTCTGGGGAAACCTTGTTCAGTGCTCTTGGGAGAGTGGCTAGTGAGCAGAGTGGCAGATAGAGAATGAAGCAACTGAATAAAACATCAATAATGGTAGTTGGATATAAAATCAAATTGTCATGATCATGAATAATCAAGACAGATTTCTAAATGTGTTAAAGATACTAAAACCATCAGAGAAGGCAAAGTTAATCCTGAGAGACTGAGTTTCCATAATCAAATTATGAGCCCCAATGACAAAATTAAAATCATTTCAAATTCTCAACAAAATACTAGCAAAATGAATTTGATATCACTCAAACAAGATGAAATAGAATTTACTTCAGGGATGCAACTATGGCTCAACATACACAAATCAATAAATGTGATATGCTACAACAACAGAAGGAAAGGCGAAAGCTAAATGATCATCTCAATAGATTCTGAAAAGAACATTTGACAAAATGCAGCATTCTCTTGTGTTAAAAGTTCTAATCAAATTAGCTATAGATGTTTATCCCTTTGGGATTGGCTGATTTCACTAAGTATGATATTTTCCATATTCATCCATTTAGCTGTAAATGACTGGATTTCATTTTTTTAACTGGTGTGTAGTATTCCACAGAGTACATATCCCATAGTTTCTTTATCTAGTCTTCTGTTGATGGGCATTTAGGTTGATTCTATGTCTTGGCTAATGTGGATTCGTTCCTCACATCCTCACCACATCCTCACCAGCATGTTCTCCCTGATCTGTGACAACTAACAGAGCACCTAAAAGGAAACCCATAGAAGTGAAACAGACACTATGAGAAGCAATTACTTGAACAGCCCTTGTCTTGACTGTTGAGGAACACTTTATTATTTCACTTTATCTATTTTTTCTTCTTTTTTTTTTTCTTCTCTACTTAATACCATTAGCTGAACTCCTTACTGAACATAGAATTAATCATAGATGTATTAAGTCAATTGAAAATAGATCCCAGTTAAAAATAAGAGTGGTAATGAGAGGGAGGAGCTATACAGATCAGCACACATTTCCACAGACCTACCCCTAAAGGTGAAGCTAAAAACTTGCCATCGGACTCCAAATCCCATTTAGCTGGGTGGCACTAATTCCATCTTATGTGATAAAGTGATCATATTAAGTATGGAATTGATCAGATACATAGGACAGTCAAAGGTATCACATAAATAAAACCAAGTGCCTGGTAATAACAATATATAGAATTACAAATCAGAGAAAGTTCCAACATGGGAAGCAGTCCACACAGCAGATTCAGAATGACAAACACCCTAAACAGCTCTCTGACTTCAGAATCAGCCCCTAAGGCCTGACTGAATACACCATGAGAGCATTTCAGGCATGGAAAGCCAAGATATAGTGGCAAAAACAGTTCTGCATGAAGGATCTCTGTGAGTAAGACCCCAGTGGAAAAAAGGAGCCATCAAAGAAGGAGGTACTTTTCTCTAAAGAGAGGAGAGAACTTCTACTTTGCATATGGTGTTGTCTAAAAACCAACGGAATTTGTGAACTCAAAAGGCTTCCATAGCCTTGGCAGCTCATGTCAAGAGCCTCGAGTGATCACTGACATCGTAAATAAGAATGTCATTGTTAAATCAACAACAGGAGTCACTGTGCACTAGCTCCCCATGCTGACCTCTGTCTTTAATGAGTTGTATTATGAGAATTAACAGTAAAACGTGTCTTCAAACTGTACTTTATACTTTGTATGTCTGTGTGGGTGCATAGTTGAAATCTCTCCTTAGTAAAGAGTTGGTCTTCTGTATATAAAGTCAATTAAAAATGAATCTTGGGCCGGCGCTGCGGCTCACTAGGCTAATCCTCTGCCTTGCAGTGCCGGCACACCGGGTTCTAGTCCCAATCGGGGCGCCGGATTCTATCCCGGTTGCCTCTCTTCCAGTCCAGCTCTCTGCTGTGGCCAGGGGGTGCAGTGGAGGATGGCCCAAGTGCTTGGGCCCTGCACCCCATGGGAGACCAGGATAAGTACCTGGCTCCTGCCATCAGATCAGCGCGGTGCGCCGGCTGTAGCGCGCTGGCTGCCGCGGCCATTGGAGGGTGAACCAACAGCAAAGGAAGACCTTTCTCTCTGTCTCTCTCTCTCACTGTCCACTCTGCCTGTCAAAAAAAAAAAAAAAAATCTTGGGACTGGCACTGTGGCGCACTAGGTTAATCCTATGCCTGCGGTGCCAGCATCCCATATGGGCGCTAGGTTCTAGTCACAGTTGCTGCTCTTCCAGTCCAGCTTTCTGCTGTGGCCTGGGAAGGCAGTGGAGGATGGCCCACTTGTGCTTGGGCCCCTGTACCTGCATGGGAGACCAGGAGGAAGCACCTGGCTCTTGTCTTCGGATAGGCACAGCTCCATCCATTGTGGCCATTTGGGGGGTGAGCCAATGGAAGGAAGAATTTTCTCTCTGTCTCTCTCTCACTGTCTGTAACTCTGCCTGTCAAATAAATAAATATTTAAAAAATGAATCTTAATGGAAAATGGAACAGGAGAGGGAGTGGGAGGTGGGATGGGAGAGTGTAGTTGGAGGGCGGGAATGGGGGAAAGAAACACCATATCCCTAAAATCTGTACATATAAAAATTTGTATTAATTAAATAAAAACCTTAAAAAAACAAATTAGCTATAGAAGGAATAAACCTCAACACAATACAAATCATATCTGTAAACCAACAGTTAACATTGTACTCAGTGGGCTTTTACTTGAGATCAGGAAGACAAGAATGTAGCCTGTCACTACTTCTTTCATTTTTAAAATTGTATTTGAAAAACATAGAGACACATGCACAGACAGACCAAGATCTTTTATCTAGAGGTTCAAATGTCCACAATTGCAGGAGCTGGGCCAGACTTGATGCTGTGACCTGGTAGCTTAGTCCAGATTTCCTACACAAGTGTCAGGGACCCAAGTATTTGAACCACAGATGCTGCTTTCCAGATGTGCATTAGCAGGAGACTGTAGTTAGAAGTGGAACTGAGATTTGAACCTAAACACTTCAACATGGGATGTGAACATCATAAGTGGTGGTGCATTTGGACCAAATGCACCCCCCTATCACTTCTATTCAACATAGTGATGTAAGTCCAAGTCAGAGCTATTAGGCAAAATAAAACAGTAAAAGCTATCCAAATTGAAAGAAATCAAATTATTGCTATTTGCTGATGACATGAGGTTATACGTGGAAAACCCTAAATACTTTACTAAAACGTTTTATAGCTAGTTAATAAATTTAGTAAATTTTCAGGATAAAAAATGAAATGACTGAAAATCAGTAATGTATCTACAAACTGATAGCAAACTATCTGAAAAATAAATCAAGGAAAAAATCCCACTTAACATAGCTTCAAAAACAATAGTTAAGCATAAATTTAACCAAGGAAGTGAAAGATCTATATACTGAGAACTATAAAACATTGATAACACTGATGAAAGAATTTAAATAAAGTAGAAACAAATGAAAACAAAACCAATGCTCATGAATAAGAAGAATTAATATAGTTACAATGCCCACATAACCCAAAGTGATCTGTAGACTCAGTGAAATCCCTATTTAAATTCTTGCCATGTATTGCAGAAATAGAAAAAAATTGTTAAATTTGTATGAATCCACAAAAGACCCTGAATGGCCAGATATTTGGAGCAAAAAGGACAAAGCTGGAGGCTTAGTAAATGCCTGATTTTGAAATCTACTACAAAGCTATAGTAATCAAAACAACATGGAACTAGCATAAAAATAGACAAGCTGGCCAATGGAATAGCATAGACAACACAGACAGGGACAGGCATTTGGTGTTGCAGTTAAGGGTCTCTTGGAACACTTGCACCCCATATCTGGGTTGCTGTTTGAGTACTGACTCCACTCCAGATTCTAGTTTTTTGCTATGCACACCCTGAGAGTCAGCAGATGATGGCTTAAGTACTTGAGTCGCTACCACCAACATGGGAGACACAAGTTGAGTTGCTGCCTCCCAGTTTTAGCCTGGTCTGGTATCAACTGTTGTGAGCATTTGGGAAGTGAAGCAGTACATGTGTGTGTGTGTGTGTGTGTGTGTGTGTGTGTGTGTTTGTGTGTGTGTATTTGTGTGTAAGCGTGTATGTATAGATAGACAGATATAGATATCTGACAAAAGGTAATTGCTGGTAGGGATGTAGAGAAAAGGTAACCCTTCCATCCTATTTGTGGTAATATAAATCACTGTAGATAGTGTGGCAAACAGCATGGATGTTCCTCATAAAATTTTAGAAAGAATAACCATGTGATCTAACAATCTCACTACTGCTTTTATAGCCAATGGAAATGAAATCAGTAGTTTGAAGAGGCATCTGAACTCTAGTTTTGA